TTTTTTGTAATGAACTGCTTTTAGTTATTGATTTTTTAGATGATGCCAATAAAATTGGTTTTATTTCTTTTTTCTGCCATTTTATAACACTTTCAAATATGAAAGTTATTGAATATTTTATTTTATGCAGCTGATGTCAGCGTGAAGAGATGCTGCAATGTTATCATCTGTAATACAAAGGGAATTAATACTTGGCTTAGTTATCATTAGTGAATGGCCTTCTTATAAATGGCTGGACTGATTAGGATATGATCATTAAACCAAAAGAAATTTGTAAATCCTGCAGATGGTCCTAATGCTCACAAATGAACTATGCTGAGAAATTTTGAAGCTAAAGATTCTATGCAATGTGCAGAGTACCATATTGCAGATGCTTCCTCGTTATCTCACAGAAGCACGGTTGAGATTCATTAATAAAAATGATGACTATTATTTTATCATACTGCATGACATTCATAATATATATGGCTGAATGACTCATAAAAACAGTCATTTTAAGGGCCTGTCCTGCTTTTGTTTTGTAAAATTGTAAAGAACTGATTTTTAATGGAGTTAAAAATTCAATAGGTTATTTAATTAATTAACGGAATCCTTGTTATTTATTTTCATATATAAAAATAACATTTTAGTACCACTACCTAAAAAAATACGTCACTAACTAAAATCAATAGATCCAATACTATTTTAATACAAATTTTTTAAGCAGACTCCTAAATATGGAATTTTAAAAGACCTAGCACTGATGATTGATATCCTACAAGTACTATCTTATCTGTTATTTTGTCATTTTTAATGATTTTGAAATTTCTTTTTGTTTAACTTTTAGTGTTTGGAAAAAATAAAACATTTCATTAAAATTTTAGAATTTGAGTATATAGAATAAAATGCAAACCTTTTGTTAAAATTTTCATAGCTCACCACTGCTCACAATCAAAGAACAGCTATATGGAACATTATTTCCTACTCCCACTACTCCAGATGCTGCTATTGTCCTGTGCACTGTAAATCTATCTTTGAACAGGACTACTGCTTTCAGTGATGATTTGAGTGTAAAATGCATCAACTGTAAAAAGGTATATTTAGAGAGTGGGGAGAAAAAGAGAAATGCGCTTATTTTGGGTCTGCTATGCTTTATTTTCACATGTCTAAAAATGTTTTGTACTGCTTATGAATCTTCATAATTAAAGTTTCTACCAAATAATTTGGCAAATCACTTGAGAAGCATTCTGTCTACTACTTCATCATACTTATAAAATAGTTTTCTGCACACATTACATTGCATTCAGTCCTTTAAGGTCTTAAGATAAAACATGTTATAGCAGGTATACAGAGAGATTTTTTCATGATTCTATGACTACAGCTAAAACAGTCAACAACTATTCAACTACAACAGACGATTAATGAGGGTAATACCAGGAAGGATAGCTACAGTTAACCCAAAATTAAACATGATTAAAAAAATAAATAAAGGAAAGAAAGAGGAATAAGCCATATTGTAATCAACAGAAAATACTATTACCAATTTACCTGCATTTAATCAACAGAAAATACTATTAATAATTTACCTGCATTTTTAAGCAGCTTAATTTGGAGAATAAACTCATTTGGCTATGTAAATTAAATCAGCATTAGAAACAAAAATACATAAAAAAATTTTAAGAAAAATGAACTTTTCTTTTAGTGTTATGCTTGTATTTTTTTTTTTTTTTTTTTTTTTTTTGGAGTCTATGGGAAATGGGAGAGGTACGCTTAATTTATTTTTGCAATTCAATCATTATTTTTAATAAATGATTTAACAATATTTATATATCCCAGTTTATGTACGATTAGATTACATGCTTTTGAACTTAAAACAATGCCTAACTATTATAACACCATCTGATAACACTGCTTCTCACATATTTTCTTGCCCTTTTTACATTTCCTGTAGAAATTTTGCTTCATTTTGATAGTTTGCAAATGCATATTGATACAATGATACAACTACCTTATATTGGAGTACAAAGAAGAGCACATTCTAGTGAACAAATTAATTTCATAAAGAAAACCTGATATTAAAAACGTTCTGCATTTCAATATACCATATAGCAAAGGGCGTGGGGGAAAAAAAAAGAGAGGCACATGACTTGAAACAAAACAGTCACCCAGGGCAGAAAAACCAACTAGAAAATTTGTAGTCTTAGTACGTCAATCAGAAAACACCACCAATGCAGTGATCTTAGATGATACCCTCCGGAGTATTGATCATACTTGTAGCCGCTTGACTTACGAATTAAGTAAAAGTGAGAAAGCACTGAACTGAACCATGAACTTCTAACGCATTCTTTTATATGGTTGCTCTCTCTGCATATACTGTAGGTGGCATATGGATATAAACAGAAAAAAGTTATGTAAATGTAGAAGGCACTTTCCAGAAAGCCTAAAATGTTTTTCCCCAAAACACAAAATGTCGAAAAGGCTTTTTTTTTTTCAAATGCATTTTACAAAAAAGTTAAAAGTAGATAACTAAGATAAGTACAAATTAAATTAGATGTTTACCAGGCATCAGATGTTAAGTAATTATTAATTGTAAACTGAGAAGGGTTATAAGAAATGATATAAACTGCTTTAAATAGCTGCAGAACTCTAAAGCCCCATTCACACACAATGCTCTTTCATGCAGATGGGGATATGAAGCAGTTTCGCCTTCAGGACCGGTTCAGATGCACATCATCTTCCATCCCTCAATTCGTAAGCCATTGCAAGCAATGAATGATGTCACAAACATGAATCAGATTGGCAATAAAATGTTTTATGGTTGTTAAAATTTCAAACTTTGCTTTTTGAAAAAATGAATAAAATGACAAATTAGTATTATTTACATTAATTAAAAATGTTCCAATATTGATTATAAACCTTTTAGAAAATATATTATAATTAATTCATGCATTAAAATTGCTTTGAACCTGTTTTACGAAGATTTTTAAATAAAAGCTTGTAATTATGCTTATATTAACCAATTGAACAGCACTAAGATTATTATACATATATATATGTGTGTATTGAAATTGAGTAATAATATTTTAAAGAAATTTGAAATGATTTAATGATGATCTAGGCCATTTATATTCTTTAAAGTGCATTTTCTCAGTTTGCATGTTTTCGATAAATCCTTTTATTTAATGTCCTAAAACTTATATAGATGTGGCCTAAATTATTTAATATTTTTACCGATTTAAAATTATATACTTTATAGAAACAAGGATGGGTTTTGCAAAATACTGAAAAGAAAATTTGTTTGAAGTGAAAATGTGAATAAGATATTTGTTTCAAAGTTTTTACATAAAAATATGTTTTTATTTTTCTTAGAAACTAATTCATTAATTTCAAATTGATCATTAAAGTTATTAAGAACTCTCTAATAAATACAATAAGAAAATTTGGGAAAAACATTGAAAAATGTGAGAAGAATGAAATTTTTATTTGTTAAACTGTCCTAATTAAAGGAAAATTTTAAATAATTTAAAATAATTTAAAATTTAAATTTGAATTTAATTTGAAAGGTTTTTCAGATTTTAAATTATGTCCAAAGGGGCATTTTTTTTAACGTTACGTGTGTTACCTTTATTTAATAAATACCATGTTCTATGTACTCAAACCATAAAATTAAGTTCAACAGATAAATATAATTTTAAAATGAGCATATCTTTAGAATTTTCGATACAGAGCCTCACGTGCAGGAGATAAAGAAGGTTTTTTGTTCCTTTCCATGAAGTTTAGCCATTGCTTGCTTTGAAACCGTTGAGTTTGTTAATAAAAAAATTCCTGAAAGTTTTACAAAATATGAAATAGTTAATAAAACAAATTCCAAATTTGGGCTTCCAGATGCCTGTACTGGGATGGAAACTCAAGCTATTCAAAATTGGATGCCTCTAGGTACCATTGTTTTATTACAATGCTAGAAACATACATACATTTATGCAGATTCTTCATTATTTATTTAAATATAATACAGGGCAATAATATTTGGTGGCAACATATTGGAAAGTGATTCACCATTTAGTTTTCAACGCAAAATGCCAAAACAAAATAAATAGTCCTTCAAGGCAAATTGTCCCTTGGGCTAAAAATTTTCTTTCAGCTTAAAATTATCTTGTCTTACAAAACTATTTAATAATATTAAAAAAACTAGATGAAAGTTCTTAAATTTAAAAAAAAATCATCCAAAAAGTACTGAGTCCCCTTGTCTTGTTGAAGACGATATGCGTGTCTTTAGTTTTAATTTGAATGGTATTTCTGGAATACCCAGCATCGGATAACCTTGTCTATACTAGTTTACAAATTTCTGTACTTTGTACAGTTCCATCTAATTTTTTTGCACGATATTGCATCCCCAGATATCTATCAGCGCGATTGTTTCGCTGACAGTCCAGCAAGCAGTCAGTTGCACGTCAGCCATGTTGTTTGTTAAAATTAGTGAATGGTGCAATCATGCAGTGCAGTATGGGAAACCTTCCCATTTGCCCTGCTCCAGAGTAAGGTAGGAACATTCAACTAAGTTCTACCTCCAATGAGGTGAGGCAGTTAATGCTTGTTTGCCATGTGAATGGGACACGTTGGAAGAACCGGTTTTCACTACCGGTCAAATCTGCTCTTGTGAATGGGGCTTAAATGTTCATTATTTTTAAGATATCTACAGAATCAAATTTTAATTGTTTATTCTGTGTATTTTATTTGAAGACAAATTTTTATTTTACTTTCTTATGGTATTTGATATATAGATGATTAGCTGACATTGGATTATTAGTACTTTATGCTTGTGATTCAAAATGCAGTTTGCTACACATTGATTCAAAGAAATCTCATAGTGATATTTCTGTACGTTGCTAAAGAGGAAAAATCATTATCTTTAAAATCTTCAAAAGCCATATTTATGTCCACATTATGTAAGTTAAAACTCATAAATATAGAAAAGTTTTGATACAAATATAAAAAATATATATAAATAATTAGTTACCTACCTGTTCTAAATTCTAATTCAGCTGGTGCATCTGTAGAGGTATCTTTACCACACTGCTTTTGACAGTCATAAAAAGATGCAAAATTATTTTCATTACCATTGCAGCCACCATATATGAATCGATGACATTGGCCACTTTCATAATCAAAATACCATCTCTCTCGGAATTCAAAACAAGGCCCAATCTCTTGTGGAAGTTTGCAAATATCCTTTTCTGATTAAAGAAGCAAAATTACTTTTATGTTTTAATTCAGTTGCTGTTGATTATTAAACTTGAAGCACAAATGAGAAAAATTGGTATATATACAATGAAACTTTATAAAGTAGTACTTACACACATCAATGCAGTTTGCTACATATTGATTCTTTTTTAGGATTCTTTTCTAAGAAAAAGCATGAAGTAAAATCATTCATTAAAACAATTTTAATAATGGGTTTTAGTGAAAGTTCCCCCACTGCAAACAGTTTGCGTTGACGTGTTTAATCATATTTTGAAAAACGATTTTTGGCATTTGAAAGAAAGAGACTTGCTTTAGAACATTGTGTAGTGAAATGTGTAAAAAAATATCGTTATTGTTTAGTACGAGGCATCTGAAATAGAAATATCATGCTACCAGATTAGAACAATCATTTATTTCTAGTTCTGTTGCAAAATGTCAGCTACAGAATGTTACTAAATCATGTGCATGGCTTTAGATACTAATTTTGCATCATATGACCATGTGAAAGTTTGGTACTGAAAGTTCAAAAACAAGGACTATGACATTCATGAAGCAGAGCATTCTGGCCAGCCTACTGATGTTCACAAGGCCCGCCAGCCAGAACATCCAAAGAAGATCAGTATGCAAACACTCAAAAGCTTGCTAAGGAGTTAGATGTTAGTGCCATGCCCATTAGTTGCGCTATGCATCACATAAACTTGACGTAAAAGTCAATTGTTGGGCGCACATGGGCCGAAGTTAAGGAAATAAGAACAGACGTGTTCGATCCTGCAAAATCTGCTTGAATATCAATGTGAGGAAAAATTTTTGGACCAGATCATCACATGTGATGAAAAGTGGATTTACTTCAACACACAGGCCAAAAAGGGGTTGGTTAATGCCTGGTGACCCATCGGCAATGTCATAAAGTGCAATTTGGCCAACAAGATCAGGCTTTTTATCTCGTGGGATTGCCACAGTATATCCACAAATGCATCTGGGGAAAAGTAAAGCCCTTAACAGTAAGGCGTACGCGAGATGCTGACCCGTGTGATGCTGCTATCGAGGAAAAAAGTCAAAAACTCAGCTCTGGCACAAAAGGTAATCTCCATCAGTATAATGCAAGACCACATGTGTCCACATTCACTGGCTGGACTCTGTATGGCCTCGAATGGGATCCTTTGCCACATCCACCATATAGCCCATATAGTCCTTCAGAATACTACCATTTTTCACACTTGCAGCTACATCTTGCTGGTGCTATCCTGCATTCTGCACAGGATGTCCAAAATGAGGCTAATCTGTGTTTGGACTCGCAGCCACCAAGTTTCTGAGCCGAAGGCTTTGAAAAGCTACCAAAATTTTGGCAAAAAATCATAGATTTGGGTGGCGATTATTACCCACACTAAAAGTACTGCTTTCATGTTTTTTTTTAACTTTAATAAGAATGGTTTTGGTGGAAAACTTTCATTACAACCAGACATATTCCAATGCATCATAATCTTCTGCTTTATTCTGCATATGTTGCAAACATTTTGATTGATTTCTTGCACTTTTCTGTGGATTGTTGGTTTTGTGCATCTGACATACATTAGTGAAATGAAGTGTGCAGTCATGCAACAGATCATATACCTTTTTTATTGTATTGTGAATACGGCAAAGCACACTAGGGCTATCTGCCTAAGAGGAGGGATGCCTTTGTGGAGGACTTTCTTAGGGGAACTGGCTTGTATACACGTTACACATGGGGAAAACCACGAAAACGCCCATGCAGCCAACCCGTTCGCAGGATACAACACCTGGTGATGATTATTAATTGATCAGTTATTTAATAGAAAAAATTAAATTCCATTCAATAATGTTTCACCACTTAATTTTACACTAAAAAAAATTAGTACTACTGGAATATGTTTAATGAATGAAACAAATTTTTTCAATCCCAAATTGCCCTTGTTTTTTTTATCTTCAATCACAAAGCACCAAATTGTAGAAAATTATACTCTAAAAATTAAAATTTGGCATGCTATTTGTATCTCAGTACAAATCTCTTTATCACATATATTTAGTTTCTAGTTATGGTTGGTTAGTACAATTACTAGTGCAAAACCAAAAATGATTATTATTGTGCTGAACATAAGTGTTTCTTGTTACGGTGACATAATGATGATATTTACATTATCATTACCTTTTAACTTAAAGTTCTCCAATAAGAACTTTATGATTATTCACTTGCAGTATTAGATACACAATGAAACCTTGCTAAGTTGGCATGTCATGGGTCAAGAAACTTAATGCAAAGAAAACTTTAAAAAAAATTGTCTTTTAAAAATTAAATTTCTAATAAATAATTTTAATGTTTTCATATTATTCCTTACATCAACAAATAACCTTTTAAAGATTTTTTAATGCACATATTGAATCAGAACTTATTGCAGTAAGTAAATACATTTTAATTTGTCTCTAGTAAAGACTATTTTTAAATACCTATTAAAAAACCTGGCATAAGAATTTCTATTTTATTGGAAATAGCTCCAGCAGTATTTACGCATTTCAAAGTTATTTCATCTTCAAATTAAGAAAATCAAGAATTGTATTGGACTATTTATTTATAAGTTAGAATGCATAAAGTTTATCATCCGAGCTTCTTTCCTCATTAGAAATATTGCCAAAAGATAATATTATGCTTAAATTTATACTTATTCAGATTTACTGAATGAAGAAAATCACTTGTTATTTATCAGTTACCAACTATTGCTTAGATTGTACATCTTTTTCTAAATTAAAATCAGCCATGTTCTGTTCTTCAAAAATGTAGGATTGAAAAAATTGTATTGACAGGACAATAAACTTATGTTGACTAAGTAGAAAACCACTTTGCAATGTTGAGTTGGAAAGGCATTTTTCCTCCTCAATATCGAAATACATTAATTAGACCACACGTAGTCTTAAGAACAGTCAAGGTTCCAGGTATGATAAGTTATTTTATTGTCAAGATACTGAACTTTTGTGGTATACACTTTTACAACGGATGTTTTTAATTTGTTTCACTAAATGCTTCTAGGGCAACCTTTTTACATCTCACAATAATTTTTAACTTGTGACTTGGTTTTTCAGTTTCAATCTGCTTATTTTAATAGTTATGTTATAAATACAGATAACTTTTGATGTACACTGCACACACACACACACAAAAAAAAAAAAAGGGACAGTTCTATATCTCCTGTTCTATTGGGCCGATTGACGATTCAAATTGTGTTTTTCATGTCTCAAAAGCGCGACTTAGGGTATATAACATAGGTATTTTGATGCAAAATCGGACTTTTTCTGAAATAACATACCATTTTTCTTCTTATTTTGATTTAACAACTCAAATTATGCTTAGATGTTAAATTTTGTAAAATTTGGTGTGAAATTTACGGAGAAATAAAAAAATTTATCTTGGCACAATTTTTTCAGTTTTCACCAAGCATAATTCACTTGGAACTTCTTAATATATGGCAACAAATTTTCCTTTCTTCCCCTTCCATTATGCCGGAGGATAAAAAGGCACCTCGTTCCTACCTTTTTACATTGTGCATGAGCAGAAAAAAGTCACATCATTTCCACTTCCAAATAATTTTAGCGAAGTGTCTAAATCACATTTGATGTTTTATTGCTTTCAACAAACATGCCATATTTCAAAACGCACCAATACATAAATTCACATATATCTTTGGAAATTTTGAGTAAAATACTGTAATTTTTTGCAGGTGTGCTTAGAAATTAGTCTACTTTAAGATGATGGTGAAAATTTTATAGATTATAATCCAAAAAATTTTTGAAAAATTTATAAAAGTCATTTAAAAATACAAATTTTAAAAATAAATCATAAAAAATAGCTGAATTTTGTTTGGAATGAACCTAAATTTTGAAATGTGAATCAAATAAGTTTAATAAAAAAACTGAGATTAATATATATCTACCAAACTCAATTAACACTGAGGAGCTAAAATTCTGAGAGCTAATTTTTTAAAAACTACTTGTGCGATTTTGACAAAACTTGGCAGTTTGGTGTAATTTGAGTCGTAGAATCGAAATATGAAACAAAATTGGTATGTTATTTCAGAAAATGTCCGATTTTATGTCAAAATACCTATATTAGAATGATGCTATATATAAATCAAATAGATATCTAAAGTCATGCTTTTGAGACATAAAAAAACGCAAGTTTTGTCAATCGGCCCAGTAGAATGGGAGATATAGAACTGTCATTTTCTTTTACGCAGTGAACATAAATGAAAATAAGGAGCTTATTTCCTTTAAAAACAAAATCAATGAGTAAATTAAAATGATTTAAAAACATTTTTTTTTTTTTTTTTTAGCTAGTTGTTTACCTTGAACAACAGAAGCTAAACATGACTTTTCACACTCTCGTCTTGATTCGAACCTGTTTGCATTTCCTTTACATCCGCCATAGTAGAACTGTTCACATCTGGAGCTTTCTTTATTATAGAACCAGTGAATAACAGCACCATCACAAGAACCTTCATCCTTTGGCAAAGAACAGATATCTACTGGTGCTATGAGAAAAAACAAAAGTCTTATGAAAACTCGGTGCTTTCTTTCCACTTTAAGAAATTAATTTCATAAATATGCTTTAAACACATTTTTTATATTAACACAAAATTAAAATATATCACATTACTTCAGATTTAAGCTACACTTTTTATTCAAATTTTTAAAATATAAATCAGGGTGCCACTTAAATTTAAAGGGAATTTTTTTAACAACTTATTTCTAACATTCTCCAACCATCCAATGAATGGATTATGAACAGTTAAGATCTAAAAAAAAATCACAATTATATTATAAGATGTATTTTTCAACCCATGTTATATATTTTTTTAAAACTTTTTATTACTTTTTCAGTTTTAAAATCTTACTGGACTTACATTCAGGTGTGGCTATTTTTAATATTTTCTTTTTTCACTTTTAAAATTATATTACAGCTTAAATTCAAAGTAATACAGTAATTAAAATTTTAATTAATTAAACACCGGCAACTTGGTATTTTGAATTTCAACAAAGAGAAAAAATTCAAATTTCATGGACTGTAATTTTAATATACAGACTTATACTTAATGCTTTATAAATTATATAACAAATTAAATGCTTTTAAAACTCACTGACAGGTTGAAGATTAATGCACTTCTGTTCACAAAGTAATTTGCTGACAAATCTATTGTTATTTCCAAGGCAACCGCCATAGTTAAAAGTTTCACAACTTTTTGAACCAGGATCATAGTACCATGATGGAATTCTTGCTTCACAAGGTCCAACGATTTTGGGCAACAGGCATGCTTCTGTAAATAGAAAAATAAATATTATTAATATAATTATAAATATTTATCAATAATAAATGAGAGTACAGGACTACTGTAAATGATTCATCTGTCAACTGAAGTCTTTTAAATTGTATCTTATTGATCATACATATTCTTGATATTCACACAACAAAAGAGAATATTTAAAATTTTCTAAGCTTCATGTGCAATCTCTCTTACGACATGTCATGCAACAGATATGGGTTTCATTCCACAAATGGCATATTGTGCAATGTGCTTTTCGAAGGCAGTACAATACAGATTCGGTCATCAAAGCATTCTGCAATGGCAGGTTTCGTAGACACTACTGCACATCAAAATTAAACATTTTAAGGACTTTTAAGGACTATTAATGAAAAAAATTAAGGACCTGTCAGCAAATGGGAGCTGAATAAATTCAATTAAACTCAATCAACTTATGTCTGAACTTCACTTTTTTGATAACACTCTAAGAATAAAATAGATCTGTAAGCAGGATGCATTCTTATTAAACATAGTTTAATAAACATAACTATAAAACAAATTCGAGAATAAAATCCCTATAAAATTTATCTAGTAGCATTAAATATTTTACACGTATAATAGTTGGACATATTTGAAAGAAGATTCGGGACATTTTATTTATGTTTTATTAATAGTTAGCTTTATGTTGATTCTTTCTTTTATGTCTCATTTTGCCACGTACTTAGTCTAGAGGTAGCAGGCAAATAGTAGGTAGATTTTACATCAAATGGCATAGGTTAAAATTAGAAACAAAATCATAATCAGCATGATTCTTAACAAAAAATTGCCTGTTGCCAGTAACGCTGCTTACCCAGAGAGAGATCTGTTGATCAGAACAAATCCGAAAGCCTGATGTAGGCATGGTTGGCAAGTTTTGTTAGTTGTGCTCTGTCTGTCTGACACAGTTAGTGTTGTAGCTTCATGTCGAGTTTCTTTGGATTGTAATCCAGTTAATATATTTTAAGGTTCCAATAAGCCACTAATGCATTAGAGGTTGTTATAAAACTAACATGCAGAGCGATGGCTAATTGAATTTTGTACTTTATTAACAAAAAAGGTAAAGAGAACTTGCTTACGTCTTACTGGTTACATGATAAATTTTAGAATGATAAAAATAACAGTGATGTCAGATGCATAAAGCATAATAAAACAATAAAACAATGATGCCACTGGGAAACTGCACATAATATTAATTAAATGCTCAATTCTCAACGGCCTCCTTCAAGCATGAAAATAGTCATTGTACATACAGATTAACCTTTACTTTTATTTAACTGTTTTTACACCAATCAACTTCTTCTGAAAATGAAACTGAGGTTAAGTGCTGGAAGTGCCTTCATCAGAATGTCTGCTCGTTGTTCATCATTTCTGACATAGCCTAATTGAAAATGTCCTCTTCCGAGAACTCATCTTGCACTAACTTGTACCTTTGGTCAATGTGCTTTGAGCATGCATTGGAACATTGAATTTTTTATGTGCATGCTAGTACTCTGATTATCAATTTGTAGGATAGGCAATGAGACATTATTAGCTGTCTCATTGAACAAGCTCTTTCAATCATGTCAGGTCTTTTGTGGCATCAGCTGATGCCATGAACTCTGCCTCTGTCGTCGAATTGGATATGGTCTCCTGTAGCTTGCTTTCGCCACGTAATTGCACCTCCACCATAGAAAGAAATAACACCTGTTCGAGACCTGCGTGTTTCTGCACAGCTGTTGTTATCTGCATCACTAAAACATCAAACGTCTATCATCTTCATTATTGTACACAATGCCGTGTCCTATGGTATTGCGAAGGTACCTTAATGTTGTCTGTGCAATTTCCCAATCAATCTCTGTAAGGATTTTTCAGCTTATCGAGACATCAAACTCGCTGCGTAAGCAATGTCTGGTCGGGTGTCCCCATCGCCAAGTACAGAAAACTGCCAACTACTGATCGAGCATGGAATTTGACTGCTGAGAGGCTTCGCCTCCTTGATCTTGATCATGCCATTGTCGTTCGGTTGACCATAGTCAACCTTGAGACTCGACTTCTTTACTGGGATGTGTGATGTCGTAGCATCTCCATATCATTCTAATTTCTTTCTTGTAAATGCTTCTTGGTGCAGGAAGAGTGAGCCATCTTTCAAACGTTCAACTTGTAAACCAAGGAAACAATTTAACATCGTTACTCGAATGTTAAAATGTTGCTTGAGCTCATCCATAAATGTGAAGAATGCTGCTTTGTCCTGAACAGCAACAATGAACATCAACATAAATCGCCATCAGCATCTTATGTCCATAATCATTTCGTTATGAACAGGCAGTTGTTGGATTTACTTTGTATCATACCATGTTTCTTCAGCACGTCAATAAACTTGGCATTCCAACATCGTCCAGCTTGTTTCAAGCCGTATAAAGGTCGAAGCATCTTGCATACACGCTTACTTCCATCGTTATAGCCTTTGGGTTGATACATGTAGATCTCCTCAGTTAGGTCACCGTAAAGGAATGCCGTCTCCACATCAATTTGATATAATTTGAGATTCTCCTTGGCTGCCATTGCAATTAGAGCTCGAATAGTGTCATAGTGACACACTGGCTAAATGTGTCTTCATAGTCGATATTCACCGTTTGGGTGTACCCTTTTGCTACTAAACGAACCTTGAATCTCTCGATTGAGCCATCGGGGTTTGTTTTCACTCTGTAAACGCAGCGATTGTCGAGGATTTTTACGTCCGTTAGGTGGCTCAACAAGTTGCCATGTTCCATGTTTGGCATGCGAAGCCATTTCTTCGTCCATGGCTCGTTTCCAGTCGGCATATTCAGGAGACTTCATTGCTTTATCATATGTTTTAGGCTTTTCACTTAGAATGCTGTTATACAGTCGTATCATTAAATTTGACAGGCCGTTGGATAGTTGAACGGTCTCACAACGAGTGCGGTCATCTGTGTTGGTTCATTCATCAGTGCACAGATCACCAGTCTCCTGTGTATCTGCACCATTGTGTTGAATCTTCCAAAATAACTTCATACCGCTTGTTAAACCGGTATTAGATGCTGTTTCTGAAAGGTTGTGAAGTAGGACCGATTTGCTGTTCATTGAACACTACATTGGCACTTTTTATCGTATCATTCCTTGATGGTATGAAAATGCGATACCCATCGTCATCACAATAACCAACTAAATAGCCCTTTTAGCTAGCCTTGTCATCTAATTTACCTCCTGTTGACATTTGGTACCATGTACAAATGCAGCTGATCCAAAAACTCGAATTCTGTTGATTGCCTGGCTTGCGTCCGAAACCATTCCTCAAACGGAGATTTTCCTGTAGTCTTACACTTGGTCCGATTCGATTGAGAACGTCTATACCATTTTGGCGCAGGTACTCTTTCATGTATTCCTTGATGACCAAATCGTCGATGCCAAAGTGATTATGGCAATTTTGTCATCATCTTCATTACCATCTCATCAAAAGGAGTTGTCATTTCATTGGCAACCAAGTAGGCTGCAGCAGCAGAACCCCTTGTGGCTTAACTGGTTTTGCACTTAGTTCAAAAATTCCATTTGATGAACATAGGGCCTTTCTGAAAGTATATTATCTTGGGGTCTCCTTGCGAAAGAAATGACAGATCATATCATCTGAATCACCAAAGTTTGAGATTTCTTTCGCTTCATTCCCTTCGAAGCTGAATAACAAATTTTTGCCAGTTTCTGGTGCATACAGTACATCAGTGAGCTCAATAGATTTTGTACGTTTCCAACCACCACACACATGTAATGTCCCACAACCAACTGGTATTATCTGTTTGTTACGACTGTGATTTTTGCATGTTAAAGTGATGGTACGTCTTGAAATACTCGGCTGAATATGTAATGTGTGCTGTAGCTCCATTATCTTTAAGCCATACATTTCAGCCAACAAGTCATCTTCTTGACAAGCAAACGCGCTGCATTGAGTATTTGCGAAGAAGGTTCTCTGGTTTGCCTATTTGTCGTAGTTGGCATGTCAGGGAAAACTGGGACAAAATTTACCAATGTGTATGGGTGTATTACAACGAAAACAGATGCCATTGAAACCTTTCACGCCATCACTGGTCTTACTAAGTCTGTTCATCGTTTTGGTATTATTTGTTGTCAAGGGTTGGGATTGGCTGACCATCTGAGGTTTCTTACCACCCTTCTTCCATTTCTTTCCACTGTGTTTTGAGCTATAATTAGCATTTGCCATAAATGTTATCATGCTTTCATTTCTAAGTTCTTGATTTCTTCTCTGCAGCCGCATGTTGATCTATTCGATCAGTTTTTCAGGTGACTTTTCCGTCTTTGGCATTGAGTCCCAACTGTGATTTGAACTCTATATATTCATCATTGAACTCTATATATTCGTCATCAGGAAGAACAGATAAGATTCACGGTACTAGCAGGTTCTGTGGAAACTTTCCTTCACTGCTCAACTCTTGCTCAAGTTGAAGATCCACCCACAGTGTACATAAACGTGCGAGTGATTGCATTACACTTTCGTCTTTCTCGATCCGAAAAGTGAAAAACTGTTGCAGAAGAGTGTCCAATTTTACGCTTGACACCTTTTCAAAGTTACTTAATAACTCATTCCATATCGCTAGTGCAGAATTACCATGCATATGGATAAAATTTAACACATTCGGTGATACATTGTGCGAATGACCACAGCAGCTTCGCATTCGCCTTTGCATACGCTTTTGCGGCTTCGTTGTACTCACATATTGTTTTTTCATTCGTGCTTTCTGCCGGAGCTTTTGGCTCGATAAGGAAATTATCAAAGATGCCCACACAATCGTTGAGCACAAGTAAAGAGCTTATTTCAAATTTCCAATCAGTCCAGTTGGATAAACCTTCCAATTTGGTACACTGAACAAAATTTTTAGCTTCCATATTACGTCGTTATTAACCAGGAAATATGCAGCAAAAATAAAAGGCTATCAGTACACTGTAGCGTCTACCTACGCACTGTTCAG